GTCTCTTGTCTACTTGCCTCTTTGTCCCCTTTATTTAATCATTCATTGCCTGGAATGAGATGGGACTGACCTCAAGGAACTTCATTGGTAAACATCCCAAAGGTGTTATCACAGTAATTATATGTTTACATTTCTCTACATTACTGGACTGAGAGCTTCTTTTGGACGAGAAATATGTTTTATTGTTGTTGAGATCCTTATAGTAATTGATCTTTCAGTTATGATTAAAAAACTAAAAATTCAGGCCCTGGGAGTCACAGCCATATAGCATGAAGTGGGAATTAAGTATGTGGCATTTGTATAGGTTCATTCATTTATCCTGTGAATTTTATTGAGTACCAACATGAGCTCTAGATGTATATTACTCAATTAGACACAGTCCCTGCCTGCATGGAGTAAGCCTTCTGATAAGGAAACAATATAAATAAGTAAACAAAAAATTAAATGTCTAAGTGCAAATTTTGATATATGATTTTGATGGAAATTATGCTGAAAGTGAAGCGAATACAGGGAGAAATAGGAGTGAGGTGATTCCCACAGAGGAAACGGCATGTGCACAGTCGCTGAGGTGCAAAGAAAACTTGTGTTGAAGGTACTGAGAAGCAGAGTGCAAGTAGGTGTGCCTGGAATGCTGGTCAGGAGGAGATCCTAGCATCAAAGGAGTGAGAGAGGTCACAGGGGGCCATGTCATGCAGGTAGATTTGGATTTTGAGTCACTGTGCAAAGATTATTATCAATGATTTAAACATTTGGCAGTTTTCAAAAATTATAGTTTTTGGTTGAGAACATTGGATAGAGACTGTGCTCTTAATAGATGCTTCTTAAAGTATGTATTAGTTTCTTAAATTAGGTTAATTTTTTTCTGTGAATTATGGAAAGATAAATTTTTGATATTTATTCAAATTTTCAGGGAACGTTAATTTAGTAATATATGGTAAATCAGAAAATGAAGCAAACCTGAGTTCTTTTTAGTTGAGAAGAAGGCAGCATGAATATACAATTTCCTTTTCTTTCATGGAGACTATTGAGGAAAAGTTTTCCTTATGCCTCTACATTTTCTGCATATGTTGTGAATGAGCCACTTGCTGTTCTTTGTTCTGGATATCTTTTGTTGATATAACAAATAGCCTTGAAAGGTAAAAATGGTGCCTCCTTCTGTAGCAAATAGATCCATTTATATATAACCTTGGAAAACAGAAATAGTGATTTCCCCCAGAGCAAAGGGCAAGTAGTCAGTCTTGCTAAATGTTATCAAAGACTGGGGTTCTTTGAGCACTGTTTTCTCTCCTGAAATGAATCTCACTGTCTATAAAGGCATCCACCAGGGCCTACTTGGGCAAGGAGAGCTGACACACATACTGATGCTCATGCAGCTCCCTATGTGGTGATTAATAAAGTCCTTTGTCTCTGACCCAGGAGGCCTATGTCTTCTGCCAGTATCCATAACTATTAACTTACAAATGCTTAAGGTCTCAAACTCTTCACAGTTCCCTGCAAATTCCTCAGCAATCTAGGGCAGTTTATGCCCTAGTGTTTTTCAGTCTTTAAGATATTCACTTAGCATTTTTTTTTGTCACTGCCTTTCTCCTCCAAAGTCACAAGATGAACTATTTTCAGACAATCACATCTTAAGTGTGATTTCTGTTCTAAAATACATGTGTGAAACCTGCTATCTATTAATTATTCTGCTTTGAATATGCTGAACCAAATGGGAGAATTTTTCAGCAACAAAAAGAATGCTACACTAAAATTTTAGGGTCATCAAAACATATGATACTCGATTTGAAATTTAAAAATTTATGTGTATGTATTTGAAAACATTACCCAAGCATATTTTAATGAAAAATTCTTACATGATAACCTCTAAGAGATTAACACAATGGTTTTTCAGCTGTGGTGGAGCCACCATTATCACACGCTGGATGGCCTTGGCTTCTCGCCTCCTCCTTACCAGGGATTTGAAGAGCAGGTACCACCTGCAATACCCAGTGAGGCAAGGTACTGCTCTAGCAGCTGGAAATGTTCTGTATTTACACTGTTTAAACCAGTACCATGAGCCACACATGTGGCTAGCCACTCAACATTTGAAATTGGGCTAGTCCAAAATGAGGACTGTTATAAGTTTAAATTATGTACCAGATTAAGACCTGGGGAAGAAAAGTAATGTAAAATATCATTAACAACTCTTAAAATTGAGAAGGTTTAAAATGGTAATATTTTAGATAGGTCAAATAAAAATAGTACTAAGTTAATTTCAGGTATATTTTTACTTTCAATGTGGCTCCCAGAAAGTTTTAAATTCCATATATTGTGTGGTTATAGATTTTTGTTACTTAAAAGGCAGTTCTCAGGCCAGCATCAACAGCATGCAGCTCATCAGAAACTTAGAATCCCACACCCTACCCAGACTTACTGCATCAGAATGTGTATTCCAATAAAACCCATGAGATATGTATGTACATTACAGTTTGAGTAGGAGTTTCCTAAGACTGGTAGTGCCAGATAAGACATCCAGTTAAATTTACTTTTCAGATAAACAATACGATTTAAATATAGTATGTCTCAAATATTGCATGAGACATGTAAGAGAGCCCCTGTAGGATTAAAAGCCTCAATCGCCCCAATTTCCTGATATATTTTTTTTCTCAACTGAGCTTCCTCATGCTAAGAATGGAAACCCAAGAACTGGCCTCAAAGTCTGGGCAGGTGCCAGCAAGGGTTGAAAAACTAGAACTATAATACATTCTCTGACTAATACTGTCTAGCTAAATCTGCATATGTATATTTCCTGCCTTTTGTCTGTCTGTATACCCTTTCCACCCTTTCCTCTTACAAAAGCTGTTTGCACCCCTGAACCCTCCAGAGATGGAGATTTGAAGCAGAAAAGGTCTCCTCTATCTTCCTTGGCTTTTAGTAAACCTATTTTCTTCCATCAGCCTCTGTCTCCTGAGTTTTGCAGTTGGGTGGCAAGCAGCAGAACGTGCAATTCTGGTAGCAGACTACTGATATTAAAATTATGTGTTTTCCTGAAATTCAAATTTAACTGCATTCTGCAGTTTATCTGCCAACGATAGCTAAGACTAAATTTCTCCTGTCCAGGCCTTGGTTTAATACTTGAAATTCCTCAGATTTAGGAAAGGATCATAGATAAAAGGATAGGTGGAAAGTAGAAGTTGGGAGATGAGAGGACAAAGGGAAGAAAAGGATGTATGAGGGAAAGTAAGAATAAAAAGGACATGGAAAGACCACATTTTAAGACCAGCTTTTCAGTTTTATAATTTTTATTAGGAACTTTCCCCCTTATTCCTGCATTCCTCTACATTCCTCAGTCACTGTGGTTTTTTTCTCTTCATTTTCTGATGGGGTCCCTGTTGTCCATGAGGAGAAGATATCGAGGAGGGGGAACAAAAATCTTCTTGAGCAAATCCCAACCTTCCTATAATCCATCACCTCTCTGAAATTGATTTACAAAAAAGCCCTTATCAGAATGACTGTCACTAAGAATACAAAATAATAAATAGTAATAATAAATGTTGGAGACGGTGTGAAGGAAAAGGAATCCTTATGTACTGTTGGTGGGACTATGATTTAGTGTAGCCACTATGGAAACCAACTTGGAGGTTCCTCAAAAAACTAAAAATAGAACTATCATATGATTCAGCTGTACAATTCCTGGATATATACCCAAAGTAACTAAAGTCAGCATATTATAAATATACCTGCATTTCCACTATCACCTGCTTGCCTTCATATGAATTATCATGGCATAATTCGTAACAGGTAAATTATGAATTAGCTAGTCTAGGTGCCCATCAGAGGAGGAATGGATAAAGAAAATAGGTTAACATATTAACATGGTGCATACCAATAATCCCAGCAGCTTGGTAGGCTGAGGCTGTAGAAGTGCAAGTTGGAAACCAGCCCGGGCAACATAGTGAGAAACTGTCTCAAAAAAAAAGAGTGGAGGGGTGGTATTGGGGATGTAGTTCAGTGGTAGAGTGTCCCTGTGTTCAATACCCAAGTACCACAACAAGAAAATATATACACATAATGGAGTATTATTCAACCACAAAGAAGAATGAAGTCACATCATTTGCAGGAACATGGGTGGAACTGGAAATCGTAATATTAAGCAAAATAAGTCAACCAAAGACAAGTTGACTTTCTTTCATATACGATATATTTGGAAAAAAGACAACCAAAAGTAGCAGAAGAGGAAGGGGATCAGGGGGAACAGGAGAGAGAAGAGCAAGGGAGAGTAGTAACAGGGAGGTGGCTATGATCAAGGTATGGTATTTGGATGTAGAAGTATGCCACAATTAAAACCTTTATTTTATATAATTAAAATGCACTAATGAAAAAAGTCTCAGGGGAAATAAGTGTCCCTTTCAGCTACCAGTACTTTATCATTAATGAGATAAAGGTCACTAGGTGATAAAATTGCTGCCACTTCTATTTGGAAGACTTTCTTTATTGTGGCATTTTAATTGTAGTTTTCTAAAATGTAAAATAACCGATAAAGATTGAGTCCTATTGGGTCCTATTTTTGAAAGCTTCTTAAGCCGGTCTGGTGCAAGTAAACATCAGTCAGTAACAATGGGTGTTCTTTATTTAGCTAAGCACTGAAGAAGAGGCTTTCATCTAGGATTGATTGATTCTATTTAAGGTTCACAACAATTCTTTAAGTATTCTTGTACCCATTCCACAGATGAAGAAACAAGGATTTGGAGGGAAAACCACTTGCCTGGTTTTAGACAACTGGTAAGTCCCCAGCTGGGTGTGCAGTTGGCTGGTGTCTGACTCCAAAGCCAGTGCTCTTCAACACTCCCTTCAATGCCTCTCAGCAGGTGGAGAGGTAGGAATTCAACAGGAAACCTTGAACTAGAACATATACGTAAATATAGGTAAGTTCCAGAGATTTTTTAAAACTGATTTAGTCACCTGAAAGATGCATGTAAAAATATATACTTTATAGATTTTATGTGACAGTATCAAAACAATGCAACTTTCTGAAAAGATCTTATCTGACATAGATTTTCTCTTAAAAAATTCCTTCCTAATAATCATTCAATGAGATGAGTAGTTAAAAATCTAAATATTGGTTTCATTCTGTACTCTGAAGTAAGCATTATTAGGTCCCTCCCTCTGCCTTCCCCCACATAATACATCCTGGGGAAAGCTGTCCTTTTATTGGTTGAATATGCTATCAGTTACAAAGCATGAAAAGTACTGCTTCTGCTCTGTTTGCATTATGAATTAACAGATGTGCTTGGTTTGAAGAAACTGATTCATTCCTTGATGGGAAGAAAAATCTTGTTTAGTTTTTCACTTCTTTTTCTATGTATGGGATTTTCACTAACTTTGGACCAGATATTTACCAGGAAGAATGTAAGGTGAGCATTTATACATCTTTTAATGAAATGCATTTGTGAACTTCAATGCAAGTCTGACATGAGATGGTACTGTTATTTCTTTAAATGTCAAATATCTATATTTGTTTATGGTTCAAAATTGATAAACTAGCTACTAAATGGTTCAAAATGAAGAGCTAGCTACTAAAATTATCAAACTGGAGTTTATAATTAAGATTAAAAATAATCTTTATTATAAGAGGCAAGGATTATTTATTCATAATACTCAAGAAGCATTGTAATACATGTGCAAGTATATGTCTATCAGAAAATGTTTCCTTAAATCAGTGTTCAGGTTTCTTTTATACTTATAAGTAAATGTTAATTTCATAATTTCTCCTGTTATTCTGTGGGAAGTAAGAAAAAATATAAAATCTCAGAAATATATAACATGTCCCTTAAAGAAAAGGTATTAAATAATCTTAACTGGTCTGAGATGGTAATTGTGTATGATACACAGTATTTCTAATTAACTAGCACAATTTCTATTTCTCCTCTTGTTGTCACTTTGGTTTCTTTCCATATTGTATGAGGGAGCACATAGAAGTTTATCTATAATAAAAGAATATTTGGAATCTGAATAGCAGTTAATTTATGTTAGGTCTCCCAATTTTTCATTATGTGCTGTTTCAACAAAAGCACCAGAGAATTTAGTGTGAACACAAAGCATACCAGCAAGCAGAGTGGTCTAGAAAAACTTGTCTTAAAGAATTCTTAAGTCAGCAGCAGATAAAAGCTGTAAGGATAGGCATCTTAAATTGTTTTTACCCCTTTTTTTTCCCGAATTAATTGGTATCTTCCTTCAGGTTTGCTTTTAAATAGTGAATGACTTATTTTCCTTAGGTGGTTAGTTTAATAATGTTTCATCACCAAGTTTATACAGAAATGACTGATCTGTGTATTACAGTGGAAAAGAATTATAAAAACCCGGGCTGGGTTGTAGCTCAGTGCTTGCCTAGCACGTATGAAACACTAGGTTTGATCCTCAGCACCACATTAAAATAAATAAATAAATAAAGGCATTATGTCCATCTATAACTAAAAAAAAAGAATTATAAAAATCCTATTCTGTTTTTAAGGCAAGGTTAACAGATTTAAATAATCTTAGCTGCAGAAGCTTTAGATATTAAAAATTGTATAAATCAATTTTCATTCAAGTCTAATATGGGATTTTAATTCATTATAAAGCTCAGATATCTCTTGATTGCTGTTTCATGAATTTTCTTTCAAATCATGGATCTGAAATAAAAAATATCTTTCAACTCAAAATACTATTCAAGATTTAAAAGTCTTTAGGAAGGATGAGCTTGATACAGCTTTCCTTAAGCTTAGAGAGAATGCATGTCACCATTCTTACTTTTCACATTCCTTCCTCATGCTGGGTTTATTCTGGAATCAAAAGGAAACTCTGTGATCTTGTATTTTCCACCTTGATTTCAGAGCTTATTAATTTGTTTGGTTGTTCCTGCATGTAACACATTTTAAAAATACTTTGTACTTTTCATTAGCTAGGCACTATACTAGTCTCTGGGTCTTTAGTGAAGACCAAAATAGGCAAAGTCCCTGCCCTCATAGACTAAGACTAGTGAAGAGATGCTCATTAATCAAGTGATAAATATAATTATTAATAAACATGGAAATGTGTTGTGAGGAAAAAATATGGGAAGCTCTGAGCACATAAAATGATATCTGAAATAGTGTGAGAAGTTAGAAACCATTTTCCTGAGGAACAGATATTTGAGTTGTGATTGGGAGAATAGGTAGAAAATAACAGGATGATGCAGAACATTGCAGATAGAGAACAGCATGTTTTAAGGCTTTTATGAGGAAAGAAAGAAACATGGGGCCTGAAGAAAGGTAGTATAGCTGGAGCAGAGAGAAAAGAGAAGAGGTAAACTGAGGTAAGTACAGTTGGCAGGTTGAGGACTTCGAGCCTGTAAGTCATGGTGAGAGTCTGACTTTTGTTCTCAGAAGGAACACAGTAGAGCTGCCTCATTGTCACATTCACCTGCATGAAGGCATATTGCACTCACTGCTACAAATCTAAGATGCTTGATTACCTTTCTAATGCTGTAGAGATCCTTTTTACTGGAAAAGGGTTTAAATAGTTTCTGCTGTGGTTCAGAGATTATATAGTAATAGGAAAATGTACATGTATTTTGTTTGGCTTGAGATAATGGTTTCCAGTAAAACCTCATTAATTCAGACTTAGAGGGGTGTGTAAAGCCTATCTGGATTACAGCTTGTTTTAGAAAGTCTAACAGCATTATTATATCCATTATTATTGGATGTTCAGACCAGAAACATTGAAACAACAGTGAGCTTGTGTTGTCTACCAGAAATCTTTCATTAGTGAACACATGGAAAAATTTAATTAACAGTGCAGAGTATCAAGCCAGTACTACCAATGATATTGTAGCTTATTCATTCACTCTATACTTTTATTCAATAAACATTTACTAACCTCCTTACTAACTAGATATTTCCAATTGATCTGATCAATTTTTATCTTACCTAGGTAAAACATATCACAATTTTCTGTTTTTGTTCACTAAGATATTTAAAAATTGAGTATATAATCTGGCATCATGAAATATAATTTTTCAATAAAATTCAAATTAAGGAACATTTAAAAATCTATTTGTGTGGTTATATTATTATAATATAGTTTTATATTATTATAAGATTAATATATTATAATATTATATTATTAGAAAGCTCGAAGCTCTCCAAGAAGTAGTGACTGGATATTAGTTTTTCTTATATATCTAGTGACATTTTAATTTTCATTATAGAATTTGGAGTTTAACTCAGGAAATTAAATTTCTTAGTGCTCCTAGAATGGGCTCAGAGGACTGATTCATGCTAACTCCTCTAACAAGAATCCTACTATAAATAATAACATTTTCCACACAAAATATTATAATGAGAGAGTTCTTAAATCTTTATTTGAAGTAGTCCCAAATTAGAAATATGCTAGATGCCCATCAATATATGCAAAGACAAATAAAATGTGGTATATCAACAATAAAATATTTCTTAGCAATAAAATGGAGTGAATGCTCGATATATGCAACAATATACACTGATTTAACAGTCATTATGTTAAGACTGAAAAAAGCCAAACACTAAAGAATATATGTTATATGATTCTATTAATATAAAATTCTAGAAAATGCAAACTAATCTAAAGGGACAGAAAGCCTGTCTATACTTTCCTAAGGCTAAGGGTGGAGGGAACATCTCTTGAATGCAGAAATGTTTGGGGATATTTTTATGAGTGATATAAATATTCTGTATCTTTATTGTAGCAGTGATGTCATGAGTATGTGACATCACTTTATAGATTTGTATACATTATATATAGTTAACTGTACATAAATTATAGCTCCACAAAATGAGTGAATAAAATCAGTGAATAATTGCATGCATTCATGAATTTATTTAAGGCATCTAGTAGACATCATTGTCCCCAATTTGTCATCTTCAGAAATTCCTTTAGATAATAAATATCATATTGCAAAGAGAATTGTACATTTAATTTGTAATTGATGCCATATGATTAATTCTAAACACTTTACTTTGATATGGCTTTAGTACTCTTTGGCTATAATTATTTTTTGCATACATATCATGACAAATACTATATATTCTTTAATAATTAAAATGTTCAGGTTACATGATAGTGATATGTTAAGCATAGAGTTTGATCTGCATTCTCATATACTATAGGTAAAACTTATGAAAAACTTCAAATGTACAATAAATAAACTTAAAATCTTTAGAACATTTATGACCCACTTGGAGATTTAAACACTGAAAATATTTAATGTTAAAAAATTATCAATATTTATAGATGTAATCTTATTATTATTTTTGAAGTCCTTATCTTTTAGAGATAGATATCAAAATGATATAATTTCTGATATTTTCTTCAAAATAATACCACAGGGGAGAAATGGGTTATGACTTGATAATTACTAAAGCTAGATGATAGGAACAGGCAGATAGGGTGGTTTTAAAAATATTTTTGTTTATAAAACATTTCATGATGAAACATGTATGTATGCTTATAACTTAATGACTTCACTTCAGGAATTTATCTTAAAGAGCTTCACATGGATATGAACAAATAATCCATAATAACAAAGCAGTGTTTTTACACTACCCCCAAATTGGAAACAACTTATATGAATTAGCTTTTAATTACTGTAATGGAATACCTGACATAGGCTACTAATGAAAAATAAAAGAGGTTTTTTATCTCACAATTTTAGAAGTTTAGAAGCATGGTCCCTGTATTGACTCAGTTTTGGTGAGGGCTCCCTGGTGGATGGTGAATGGTAATGATGGAACATGTGTCAGGAACAAGGGATCACATCTTGAGCCAGGAACCAGAGAGAGCAGGAGGGGCCAGGCGTGCTCCTTTTGTAACACCTTTCTCTCAAGAACTGTTAAGGGTTCATATAAAAACTACTACATACCCTCAATAACATAAAGATCTCCCATTATACCTGACCTCCCAACACTGACACCTCATAATACTGACATTGTGGTACCAAGTATTTAATCAGCATGAAATTTTGGGGGACCCTCAATTCATAGCACAACTTAAATAATTAAGAATAGGAATTTGGGGTTGGGGCTGGGGCTGTAGCTCAGTGGCAGTGTGCTTTCCTAGCATGTTTGAGGAACTGGGTTCGATCCTTAGCACTACATAAAAATAAATAAAATAAAGGCATTCTGTCCATCTACAACTATAAAAAAAGAAAAAGAATAGGAATTTGGCAGTGACTCAGGAGGCTGAGGCAGGAGGATCACAAGTTCAAAGGCAGCCTCAGCCTCAGCAACTTAATGAGACCCTATTACAAAATAAAAAATTAAAATGGTTGGGGATGTGACTCAGTGGTTAAATGCCCTTGGGTTCAATTTCTGGTACCAAAAAAAAAAAAAAAAAAGAATGGGAATGAGGTTAAAGATATTATGATAATGATTTCATGATGTAATATCACATTGAATTCAAAATTGTATCAGAAAAATATATAACATGGGTAACTATTTGTGATATATTTTATGTTAAGAAATTGCAGTCTCCAAAATAGTATGTTCACAAAAATCTATTTTAAAGTTTTATGAAAAGTAAATATGTATATGGTATATGTATGTCTGTTATGTGTGTATAGAGAGACTGGAAGTGTATGTGTGTATATATTTATGTATATATATATATACACATATACATATATATCATTTATATTCTCATCATTTTTTAAAATACCATTTTGGTAACTGATTTTTAAAAAATTTTTTTAAAAGAATTGCATATTTTGGGGCTGGGGTTGTGGCTCAGTGATAGAGCGCTTGCCTAACATGTGTGATGCACCACATTAAAAAAAATAAATAAAATAAAGTTATAAAAATCTGATGAAGAAATAGATTTTAAAAAGAAATGCATATTTGGCTTTAATATATTAGCAATTCAATGTAGTATAACATTTCCCTATAAAATATTTTATTATGCTTTATTATTTTGTTATTATTTTTTGTTGGTTCAACCTCTGCTTCACATATGAAAGGCTCTGTACAATATTCAATGAATAAGGATCAAGGTTGATTTTTAAATTTTTTTCTGAATTGTCTACATATTTGTTTGAAGAACATATATTACTTTTGATATCAGAAATTCACCATTAAAAAATGAACAGTTCTGACAGGCTGAGGTTCTGCTCCTCGGCTCTGGGATATAATAACTTAAATATACTTCTGAAAACTTCATGTAAACTGAATTGTAGGTACTTGCTTAGCATTTTAATTTTTTTTCCAATTTCAGTTCTCAAACATCTTCAAATAAAGAAGTGGTTATAAAGAAAGGTAAGACTTGTATTGCCCCTGTGATTCCTTGATGGAGGGTGTTAAAGAACAGCTTTTTCTGTTACAGACTTCCCTGATCAGTAGTGGTGTTTGTTTGTACCTAGATTCCCCATGTGAAAAATTTCTTAAACTAGTATGAGGCAAAGGAGACTCAAGTCTGATATATTTCACAGTGCTTAGCATATTATTGTCATTCAATGACATTCATACATTGATATTCTTTAGCCTTGGTACTCACATCTTTATTTGACAGGTCAACAGAATAATGGAGATATGAAACCAATCCAGAATTTCACAACAATACCAATCATGAAGGTATGGGTCTATCCGAGAATTAGATTGTAATCTGTCTTTTAAATAATTAAAACAGCGGCATAGTAAAAATATAAATAATAATTCTGTTAATATTTAACATAGTTTTGCTTGAACTTTGAGTAGGGGAGTATATTATAGTGTTCTTATAAATTAGAAAAACCTGAAATACTTAATTTTACTTGCTGTCTTATATTTTTATTACAATATTCAGTTTTATTTTTATTGCTTTCCAGACAGGATCATTACAGTAGCATTTTATCCTTTTATATCATTTTTATTTTTTGTTGGTTTGTGCTTTCTTTTTTATTGGTACATTATAATTGTACATAATAGTGGAATTCATGTCATATTTGTGCATGCACATAATTTGCTCAGTCTCCTTCCCCAGTATCTTTCCTTTCCCTCCCCTCTTCTTACCCGCTAATCCACTTGCTGTACTCTACTGATCTCCCTTCTAGAAGTTTGTCTTTGATTATCCTTGAGCTTGCCTCGTTGCTCCTTCTTAATTAATTTTTCTTTTATCTGTACTTGCATTGGAGTAATTGGTTCACTCTTTGTGTTGTACATTTTATGGATTTTAATAAATGTTTGACATATGTCTATCATTATAAGATATTAATTAGCCTTTTTACTTCTAGGAAGACTTTTGTATCATGGACATGTTTATTTTTAAATTTTATTTTATTTGGTTAATTAGGCTTTTAAAAATCTGAGCCAAGAGGGACATTTAGAAAAAGAACATGGGAATGCCTTCAGCCATCATAACCCTGTTAATGTCTCCGTTGATGGAATTTCCTGCATTCTCTTCTGGGCCAAAAGAATAACAATTAAATTTAAGAATCTGACCTGGCTGGACCTTACAGATGAAACATTTGATCAAAAGGCAGTAGTGGATACTGGCAACTCAAACTGCAGTGAGGAAAGTGCCACGTAAGTGGATCTATTTGCTTGAGGCATCCTTGAGGGGTATTGTAGTCTGTTAACTATAAAAATCCTTTTTTTTTTTGTCATTTCAGAAAAAAAGGGGGACTCCTTTGAACATGACCCTGACATTCTTTGAGGAAGGGAGCAAGTGTTTAATATATAAATGAAAGAACAAGTCAGAAATTAACTTTATATATTTAAAATTTTTTCCTGGCAATTTCCTTGTGGACCTTTTAAACAATTGTGATAAGAACTTTATGGAAAACGAGGGTTTTTAAAATGAGGGTTTCCAAACCCATTCTGAAGAAAAAGGAAAGAATAGAAAAGGACTTCAGGCTTAGTCTAAGTCTAAATGTTAGGTATTAAACTACTTTTGTCTCACCATGGAAGAAATTACATGTCAAAGCCAAGTTATATATGTGGATTAAACAGAGAAGATTCACTTTAGCTAGGACAAATGTCTGACTGCAGGGGGGATTCTGAAGTTATGGAACACTGTTTGTTTGCAAATGTGCAAGGGTACCTTTGAGTGGCCAAATTTCAGAGAACTCTTTAGGACATTTCAACCTGATGAGAACAATTAGTTTTGATTTGAGATAAGCTGATTAAATAGATGTCCCTCTTGAAGAACAAATCAATTTCCAATGTCTTTCTCTGCTTTTCAGTCATCAAAACAAGAAATTTTGCTATTACTTGCTTTGGTCCAGGGGGAGGGAATTTGATACGTTATACTTGTGTTCTATAAACCTCTTTTTTTCAATATTTGCTGGTAAAATGGATGTTTTTGGAAGATTCTTTGCATGTGTTCTGGTCTGGTTCAGATGGATAGGATGCTTTGTATAAAACATGACATATATATATATATATATATATATTTTTTTTTTTTGTGTGTGTGTGTGTGTGTGTGTGTGTTCTTTTTACACTTTATATAGTTTGGCTGAAAATACCTTTTTATTCCTCATCTAAAAATTCTTGATGATGGATAAAAATGGATTATATTAATGTACACTTAAAAGTCACATTATAAGTATTAGTATTTTGCGATTGAGAATGACCAACTTAACAAAAATTTAGGGAATTGAAAGTGTAAACATTCAAAATCATCCCATATCTGTTTATCCTGTTATAGCATGACTATGAAAGAGATGCCAACACTGCTGAGAGCTCAGACCCTTTTTCCTCAGGCTCTAATTTATTCCCTACAGGGCTCTTTATTTGTGGTCAGTTGCACAGAGAGAGGCTGATTGCCTGGAGATAACTTGGTTGACTGGCCCACCTAAATTGCATTTATTATGACTATAAGGTTTTTGTAGGGAAAATCAGAACACCACAGCTTTTCACTGGGCTTTGGGGACCTTAGTAACCACTAGGAGCCTACAGATGGAAAAAAATAAAAATTTGACTTCTAGACCCAGTTCTCCCAGTGAACTTTGTGATTTTACAAATAGGACCTGTAGGGTCATCATGTATCAGATGTGTTATCATCAGGGTGTCCAGTTGAGTTTAAGTCCTTGATGTCCTGAACAAAGAAATGAGTAAAACACACACAAATAACAGGCCAAGTACAGATTTATTAAAAGCAAAGTTGAAAGTGAGGGTATCATTCTGTAATGTAGAATGGAGTGGGTCAAGCAAGAAAGAGAAACACAAGGCCCTGGTGTCTGGAAATTAGTGTCTTATACGCTGAGCTCTGAGGAGTTCTCTTTCCTATACAAACCAGATTAAAGACTTCACCCCACTTGCTCCCATTGTTTACCTTATGATAGCTGATTAGAATATTGTCCAATTTTCTCCCATTGGTTACTTTAGAAAACCTAATTAGAATACTACCCAATTTATCCCCATTGGTCATTTTAATATACCAAACCTGTGGCAGGAATTATTATGGTGATAAATCCTCAGTGGTGGGAGTTGTCATGGTAATGTTATTTATCAAAAACAGAGACATGACTTATCTCCCTGTATTGTTCTCCATTGGCATCTTTCTTACACCCTTCCACTGCCATTTTGATGTCCCCAAACTCCTACCTAATAGATGGATATGATGATATCTACTCATTGTGACCAAGAAGTCTTACATGTACATGGGTCAGGCACTGTATAGAGGCCATAACAAGCCCATTATCTCTTATTCCTCATAATATCCCTCTAAGTCACAGGTCACCATCCCTGTTCCGGTTGAGGAAATCAAGGTTCAAATGAGTTTCAAAATTTATTGCAGACTCACAATTTGTATTTAACAGAACCGGGAGAGGAAGTGTTTAATGACATTTTAATTCCTTCCCCTTGGCCCTATCTTACAGGGTTATGAAAGTCAAATAAGATGTATTCATAAGAATTTTGAGAACTTGTCAAATGTTATTCACATGAGTAGTATTCTCAACTTCAAAAGAGTGAATTGGTGTCTAATTACCTGGTAGAGAGGACTTGAAAGCTTAAATTAATTTTGGGGGTAGTCCTCAGGTGAGTGTGTTCACCTGAGGGTGTGGCAAGTTTCCCAGTGAGTGAGACAATCAAAAACCAGCCACTGAGACAATGTGGTTGATTTCTGTGAATTGCTTAAATGAATGAGAGGCCTTTGTGTGCTGGTGAGGAAATTTTATATGAAAGAACAGGAATGGGAGTTGCTGAGAGAATAAACCCAAGCAAAGACATAACCATGTAAGGTCAAAAGCATGGATTAAAAAAAAAAATGACCATGTTCTAGCTCTTGGAAACAAAATGTTCAGGGAGAAGCAAATTTGGCAGACAGATTTGCTACGGAAGTCTTTATAAATAGTGAAAGCCCTGTAAATAGAACATAATCCCAGCATCTGTGTATATTTTGAATTTAGACAGTTATAGTCTGATGAATTTAGAATCGGTTTTAAATGTGTAAGAGTAGGGCACTTGAAAAAGTAAAAAAAGATCCTTTTCCCAACTCTTGCTTTAGGTTGTAAATCCCTTTTGGTTTTGATGCCACAGTACCTAGCACTTAATGAATGCTGAATTTGCTTTGTGAAAACAGACCTCATGTTCTTTACTCAAAGCAGAACATTGTTAACCAGATTCTGCTGAAACCAGGACTGCTGGAGAAGAACTCTTGGAGGGAAGGAAGCTTGGAGGCTAATAGGCTGCTTCATTAGGAGGCAGGGACAGAGATTAGGTGGGTTGACAATGGCTTTTCTCTGAGGTTTAGTGCATCATTATAGAGCCAGTTAATGGGAACCCAGTCATTCTGGTCCCATGGAAGAACTAGGAAAATTTCTATTGGAATAAATAATTAGATTTATGAAATACTATTAAAGAAATGCATTTTTTTCAAAGTATTTTCAGTAATTTGTTGTCAACTATAAAATACAGGGAAAGAGGCGGTTGAATATTTGCTTTACCAAATAAATAAGCTTATAAAGAGTTTGTAAAGGAGTATATCTAAGGTTTCTGAGTTTATGATGTCAGAAAATGGAAAATATTATCAATTTACATATATGGTTTATTTTGTTAATAACTCTACCTTTCCCCATAAATAGGATTAAGATGAACTTCAGTCTGATCACTGATATTTATATTTTTTGATTAGAGAGACTGAATTACTGAGATTGTATATGGGTGATAGTTTTCAAGTTTGCAATTGCATATTTTATAGATAACCTGCTTTTGATTTTTTGTTTTACAGTGTACTTTGAGGTATTATAACTTGTAGATATTTTAATGACATAGTAGCAATATCCTTTGTATATTTAAATTTCTTACATTTTCTAGTATAATTATTTTTTTAACCATTCTTACGTTTTCAACCTTTTTGAGATATAAATGACAGACAATAAACTACACATATTTAAAGTGTGCCATATGGTCAGTTTCCACCTATGTGTGCACCCATAAAACTACCACCACAATCAAGATAACAAATGCTTTCATAAGGACCCAAAGTTTCCTTGTTCCTCTTTGTAATCCATCCATCTCTCTAGCCACTCCCACCTTCCTACAAATCATTGTTTTGCCCTCTATCATTAAAGATTTGCTTGCATTTTCTAGAATTTTATATAGATATAGTCATATATATCTACTTTTTAGCCAGTTTGATTTCACTTAGCATAATGATTTGGATAATCTTATGTTGTTGCTTGTATCAATGGTTCCTTTCCATTGCTGAGTAGCATTCCACTGTATAGATGCATTGCAACTTATTTATCCATTCACCTGATGGGAATTTGTCCCCACCCCACAGTTTTTACATAGCTTGCCAAATAAGGTTTCTATGAATATACATGTACAAGAATTTGTGGCAACATGTATTTTCATTTCTTTTAGGTGTCATTACATTTGAGAATAGATAGGCTAAATGATATGAGTGTTTAACTTTTTCAGAAATTGCCAAACTGTTTTTTTAAAGTGATTGCCCTTTTTACCTTTCCACCAGTGTTGTATGAGAGTTCCAGTTGTTTTACATCCTGATCAATACTTTGTATGGTCAGTGTAAGATATAGAGAAAAATATTCATGTCTCTGCATTTTTATATTACTGAAAGAATTTAACTGGAACCTTGGTTAAAAAATAAGACTTGAAATTAGTAAGAGATTTACCTCTTCAGAGTAATGTGTTTACATGTTAAAGTCTTATGAAACTAGAATCATAGAGTCATTTCAGGAGTTGGAAACCCCAAGAAGCATGTCTTATCTACCTGTTGGAGGCATTTATTTATGTACCGTGGATATTAGGCCTGCAGTCATTTGTCTCCTTTATGTTGAACTATTTGCTCCCTAATTTGAATTCTTCCACTTAGATTGTAGGGCATGTATTAGGATATTCCCCCTTCTTTGCCCAAAGAGCATTTATTGATACCAAGGGAACAGATGTTTCTCCTCCTCTCTCAGAAAGTCTCTCTCTTTTTTAGGTAAACACCCAGGTTCATAATTTTGGTCTTCTTTACTTCTACTATAAATATCAATATATAAAAAATGATATTTGGTTCTCATCATGTGGCCTAGAGGGAAAAATTGGGTTAAAAGGGGAACCAATATTTTTATTCCCATGAATAAGTAATAATCTGTCTCTTCTCCAGGAAATTTCATGTTTACTTTCAGGAAAATATGAACAAATATAGGTCTTAAAAACTTGAATCCATTTAAAAAAAACTTTTAGTCATTCTGTTTGTTATACTTTGGTATTCTATTGTGATTTTTGTTTTATATTTTCCAAATGTTGAATGATGCTAAGAGCATCTTTTCATATACTCATTGACTAATTGTGTATCTTTGTTTATATAGTACCTGTTCAAGTCTTCTGACCGTTTTTAAGTGGTGCTATCTTCTTATTGAGTTGTTGAATTTATTATATTCTGGATAAAGTCCCTTGTGTGAATATGTTGGGATTATTTTCTCCTGTCTTGCCTATTTTGTTTTCTTAATAATGTCATTTGAAGATCAAAGGTTTTTCTTATTTATTTGTTTATTTAAATAGTGCTAGGAATTGAACACAGGCCCTCACACATGCTAGGCAAACACTGTGGCATGGAATTATATCTGCAGCCCCCCAATTTTTCATTTTAATTAAGTCTAAATTATTTTTTCTTTTATGTCTCGTTTGTGTATATTTTCAAAAAACCATCTATTCCTAAGATTGTATAAATGCTTTTATATATTTCTTTTATACATTTTGTAGTTTTAAGTATTACATTTGTGTCTAGATCCATTCTGAGGTAATTTTTGAGTATAGTGTGAAATAAGGGTCATCGTGTTTTGATGATCTGTGTTGCATCTCTTTTTTAAGGTTGTCTCTGAAGTTTGGTGATGCTGAAAATCTACAAAGCTTTTATATGAGGTAGGTAGGTTACCACTTTGGAATATTATAATTTCAGGACCTCAGATTAGCTCTATAAACTTATTCATTCTGTATGTGGATTTCAAAGTCTTTTTATGTGATACTTCAAACACTGTGATACTTCAAATGCCACAGCTAGCTAACTACACTGAAAAGTCAATGGCTATATGTGATGGGATCCTGTAAGAGTGTTTTCTTCAGTTCCTATTGAAACACCTATGCTCCACTCATCAGAGAGGAACTTAAGAATTCATGAACCTGAAATGCTGGAATATGATGTCGTTTTCATTAAACTAATTCTTTCTTTCTTTCTCTCCCTCCCTCCCTCTGTCTCTTTCCAAGTCTGAGGCTCTGATTTGAAGTTAATCTGTGTAGTTCCTTATAATGATGCACACTTCTTTATCTGCAATGAACAAGTCTCTGAATTCTCCAGTAGACAACCAACAAAGGCCTACATATTTCTATATTTATGTATAGAAGGATGCATCTACCAACAGTAGTTTATCCAAGCCAGTTAGAAACTGCTTCTGGAGGGTGGGGAGAAATTGAAGGCATTACATTTTCATCTTATAAAAGTGTAGAGCTTCTCTTCCTATAGTAGGAATGTTTTAGTGGAGAGAAGCAGATGTGTCTTCAACATTACTTGAAAATCAGTAGGATGTGCTAGAGTATTTTTTCCAAAGCTGTGTCCTGTAAAATGCTTCCATTTTGTGAAAATATTTGTGATTCTACAGAAAAAGGATTTTGTAGTTAAACCTGCTTGAGAATTACTACATACCATGCCTTCTTCTTGGAAAGTCAGACTTCCGAGAAGACATGCTTTTAAGGAAGACCGTTTTACTTGTAACTTTGATTAACCTACTGTTTCCTAATCATAACTTTGGAAAGCTTTCTTCCACAGAGCATTTACCAACATATCATGGGACACTGGTGCTTCAGTGATCATAATTTAGAAAATATATGCCATCACCTTTCAGAGAAACTTTGTAAGGAAATAGAATCCCGTAAGGTGACCAACACTATATCTACCTGATATAGAAGTGGGGGGATATTTTTGGTCTGTAATAGCAATTTTTCCAAGTGGAAAATAGCTTTATTATTACTTACGATAAAGGTATTAGCATATGCTGTCAATACCCTGTCTATAGGGCCTTTCTACTTTACAGCATTAAACTTCACCTGCTCAACTTTCAACTACCACTCTCTCTGGCCAAAGCAGCCCACTCTCTCCCATCCCAAGTCTAAGAAGTATATGAATACCCATCTTTCTCTCCATTGGCTGAGATCATGTAGAGGCATGTTTTTATCCTGGCTTCCAGCTTCCCCCTGGGCATTAAGCCCTTCTTGTCCACAGTGGAAACTTCCTTAATAGTGCACTCATTTTGGTAGCCTTTCATTCCTCTTTAATTTCTCTTTCTTCCACCTTACATATTTTGATGACTGATTTTCCCAGATACTTTTAATATATTCACAACTTATTTCATGCTGTGCTTCTGAAGAAGCCCACAAACTAAATAAGAAAGAAAAGCCACGGAAAATAGAAGAGCCAGAAAACATTCAGCTATGTAATGAAAGAAAATTATAACTAATAATCCAATACCATTTTTAATCACTACTAATGTTTTGATCCCTATCCTTCCAGACTTCTTTTTTTTCTATGCAGTCACCCATTTTTTTTTTAAAAAATAAAAACAAATGATCATGACATATGAACAATATAAATTTTTCATAGCTGGAGAATATTCCATTTCAGAAAGATTAAAAGTAAAGGGCTGGTCTGAGATAGGATTTGAAGCCCAACTCCAAGACATGCTGTCTGATCTTGCACAAGTTTATTTTACCCCTCTCGGTCATAGACTCCACATTTGTCAAATGAGGATAATGGTACTATCTCATAGTGTTATAGTAAAGATTAAATAAAATACACATAAATAACACAGAAGCATGATTAACATGCAGTAAGAGAGCTATTACTGTTCTTTTAAGTCACAATTTAATTCCATGTTGATGTCCACTTACACTTTTTTTCTCAAATTTCTTGCCATAATGTACACATACTCGAGCACTGATTCTGAGAAAGAAAAGCTTTGTATTCTTTTGTAGAGATTTGTATTGTTCACTTTTGGCTCGTCTGTCAGTTGTTTTCTTTCTCACCTACTTAGAGGAAACTTGTTTGAAACTAAGGTGAAGCCACTCCCCAGGTCAGCTCCGCCACCTAACAAAAGAGGGCACTGTTGTACCGTTCATATACTGTGTCCTGCTTTGGTAAATGTGGAAGTACAATGGGTAATACTGATGTATAATCATTTTCAGATTCTTCCTTACCACTTACAACAAATTGTCCAGCCAGAGTTGGTTTACTTTGCACAGAGTTGAGATTATTTTCAACAATTCAGTTCAAGCAACTTTTAATGTAACTGGCATCTATGCTCCATCAAGTTATTCCTACCACTGCCAACGTGTCAGCAGCCTGCAGCAGCATGATGCTCTCTTGTTGCCCAGTGACACAGATGACATGTCAAGCTTGTGGGAAGTCACCTTCATTGATTTTCAGGTAATAAACTAAAACGTGCTCAGGATACCTGTGTTTTTGGTGTCGAAGAAATGCAATATTGAAAACACCTGAAACAAAAGATATTTAAGAAGAAGAGAGAAGTTCATACCTTTAAAATAATTAAGATAATTAAAGAAAAATCTTCTAAGGTATGGAATGGAGTAGGATAGAATATTTCCTCTCCCTGTGGCCTCCAAGTCTCTACCCAGGACTTGCTTTTATTTCAGGTTTATCTAGTCACTAATAATTATCAGTGAGGAATGCCAGCAATCTAAACCCCTGTGGAGCTGTGGTGTGAAGCCCAGTGACTGATACTTCCAGGACTGCGAGGCCCTTCTGGGGAGAGGCTTTGTTGGATAATTATTTTATTTCCTTCAGGGAGTGTAGCAGTGATTCTATCAGGGCTGATAAGAAGTACATTGTAGTGTGAGTGACAACCTTGGCAGTTAGTGTAGGAATGGAATCCCCAACAGGGAGTCAAAAATATCCCAAAGATCTTGGAAGTGTTTGGGGAAAGGCAGGGGAGTGTGAGAAGTCTCTTTTCACCATCAGAATCATCTAAGGCTAACAGACATTCTGCCAAGTTCCTCTCTCTTGTTTACCTGCAAAAAGAGCTTAGCTTGTTCTTCCAACTTGCTGAAATAGCAGGCAGGGCTTTGCATGTCCCCTTTAAGGGCACTTTCCAATCTTTTCCATATGGATATGTGGATATTTATATGTATGTATATGGCCCCCATCACCCTTCCAGGCTGGGTGGAGGGTGTAGTGTGATGAGAGGCAGCTGGGGAAGGGAAGGAGCTTGCATTCTGGAGTTAGATAGACTTGATTTAACATACTACTCAGCCACCTGGATAAGGTATTTAACCTCTCTCAATTTCTGGCCTATCTTTATGAATGGAAAGAATACATGGCTTAATGTGTGTGAAACACCCAGGACCATGTCAGACATAGATTAACAATGCTACTTGTGAGTTTTCTCTTGTGTTGCACTGTTGTAGTTATTCTACATAATTTATTGTCAAAATATATCTCAATGCTGTAGGATAGTGGTTATTATCCCTGTTTTTCAAATGAAGTGACTAAAGATCTGATACTTTTTTCAGTGATATAGTTAGTAAATAGTAGAGGCAGAATTCAAATTCTAGACTGGTCCAGGGATGTTTCATATATATATGTGTGTGGGGTGGGGTGGGGTGTGTGTGTGTGTGTATATGCACATACATACAGACATGACACATATATGTTTGAAATGTTTATATATGTTATAAATATTTCTGTCTTGCTCTTTAAAATGTGCAGGAATCTGAGGAGGTAATAATAAAAACAAGGAAGAAATCCAGGCACAGTGGCTCACGCCTGTAATCCCAGCAGCTCAGAAGACTGAGGCAGGAGGATTGCAAGTTCAAAACCAGCTTTAGCAACTTAGCAAGGTCCTGTCTCTAAATAAAATATATTTTTAAAAAGGGCTGGGAATGTGGCTCAGTGGCTAAGTGCCCCGGAGTTCAATTCCCAGTACAAAACAAAACAAGAAATAAATTGTATATAATATGAATTAATAAGAACAGAGGAATTGACTTATACATCTGCCTTGTTTCAGAAATAGCTTAAGGTGACTTACAGAAATATTACAAAAAATGTACATATAGGCAAACCACATCACACAAATTAGGATAGGCCACAGGGAGAGGAAATATTCTATCCTACTCCATTCCATACCTTAGATGATTTTTCTTTAACAACAACAACCACACACACATACATACACACACACACACACACGTAAGGAGTATTGGCAAAGAGGTGGAGAAATGGGAATCCTTGTGCATTGATAATGAGAATGTAAAATGGTGTTAATGCTATGGAAAACAATATGGCAGTTTCTCAAAAAATTAAGCATAGAGTTACCAAGTGATCCAGTAATTCTACTTCTGGGTATATATCACAAAGAATGGAAAGTGGGGAATTGAATAGATAACTGTGCACCTATATTCATAGCAGCATTAGTCAAAAAAGCCAAAAGATATCTACCAATGGATAAGTGGGTAAACAAAATCTAGCATGTACAATATACAATGAAAATTCACCCTTAAAAAGGAAGGAAATTTGGATACATGCTATAGATATAGATGGGTGAACCTTGAAGTTATTATGCTAAATGAAATAAATCAGATACAAGAGGACAAATATTATATAATTCCAGTCATATGAGGTACCTTGGGTGGTCAATTTTTTTTTTTTGTACCAGGGATTGAACTCAGGGGCACTTGACCACTGAGCCATATCCCCAGCCCTATTTTGCATTTTTATTTAGAGACAGAGTCTTACTCGGTTGCTTAGTACCTTGCTTTTGCTGAGACTGGCTTTGAACTCATGATCCTCCTGCCTCAGCTTCCTGAGTCACTGGGATTACAGGCATGTGCCATCATGCCTGGCTTGGGTGGTCAAATTGAGAGACAGGAAGTAGAATAATGGTTGCTGGGGGCTGACAGAAGGAGAACAGAGAATAGTGTTTAATAAGTGTTTAATTAGTGTTGTAAGATGAAAAGAGCTCTGGAGACAGTGGTGGTACTCAGCAATATGAATGCACTCAGTGCCACTAACTGAACACCAAAAAATAGGATTTTTTTTTTTTTTTTTTTTTTGTGGAGGGGACCAGGGGATTGAACTCAGGGCTTTGTGAATGCAAGGCAAATGGTATGCTGCTGAACTATATCCAGCCCCAGGAATTTTATGTTATTTATGTTTTATAGTTAAAAGGCAAAATAGAAAAAAAATGGTGTGGGGAATAAAAAGGAAGGTTAGTTAGAAGCCTCTGGGGAAGTTGGTTCATAAAACCTCAGGACCATCTATCTGCACTGGCTGGATGTGGCATAGTAATTTAACTTAAAAACTTTGGAGCAGCCAGTATAAGGAATAAGTATTCTTTTACATAACTACTGAGTCCCTGTGACTACTGAAAATTTGCCTGTGAGAAGTACATCTTCCCCAATGTTGTGCAATGTGGATGTCCTCAACAATATCCTTACACAGCACCTTGTAAAAACACCTGTAGCTTAAATGCAAGCTCAAGCCAGGGAAAAGATGCTGTGGTGGTGGTATCTGAGTTATGTTAATAAAAGGCTGCTTTCCATAAGTGCAGACATTCTGGTCTAGTCTATTCTAAGAATAAAGTGTGGTTGTCCCTCAGTATCCACAGGGGATTGATTCTGGAGCTGCCACCCCCCACCATAGGTACAAAATTCCATGCATGCTCAAGTCCCTTATTTAAAATTTTCTAGTATTTGCATATAACTTATATACCACCTTATATATGCTCTCAGTTATCTCTAAAATATTTATAATACCCAATGCAATAAAATGCTACATAAATAACTGTATTGTGTGGACTGTAATGACAAGAAAAAAGTCTGTACATGTTCAGTACAACTGTTTTTCCCAGAGTATTTTTTTAACTTTATTTTATTAATTTTTTTTTGTGGTGCTAAGAATCAAACCTAGTGCCTCACATGTACTATGCAAGTGCTTTACTTGAGCCACTGAGCTACAACCCCAGGCCCCCACCAGAATATTTTTGATCCACAGTTCCAGAATATTTCGATCCCCACATGGGCCCCCTGAATATGAGGGTGACTGTATAGAATGGTGCAGCAGACATCAAAGACTCAGTGGGTAAATGAATGAGGTGAACTGGGTGTGTCTGTGTAGCCAGATTCACAAGGAACATTTTAAAATTCAACTTTAGCTGATGTGTGCTTTAAAGTAAATACAGGACCAGGGTTGCTGGATCTTCTGACTTTTCAACAGACACTAGATATTTGGACTTACTGGAAATTTTCAGGAGATTCAGAACTCAGGGTCAAACAAAGCTCACCTTTGGGTTCCATACAACATTTTTAATGTCTAGTCCAGGAAATGGATGAACCACATACTTCAGACATTCCCATACTTGCTGTCCTCGACCAAATCCCATTAAGAATTAAGTGGCAGTCAGCCTGAGAGCATTTCCTTTGGCTGGAGTTGCAGAGTCAGTTGAGGTCATCTTTTGTCATTGAGGAACTCCACTCTTCAGGCACTGTTCTGAGAATAAGGCCACTATGCATCAGAGGTGTGGGCAGGGGATGCCTGAAGCCAGGCCAGGAACCTTCTTCAGAATCAATTTGGGGTTCAGTCTAGAATACAGACAATTGGTGAACAAGGTCCCTAAAGACTCTGGCATGATGAATGGCTATAATAATTTTGGCATGAGAAAATACTAAAATGCCCATTTAAAATGCCCATAAAAAATGAATTCTTTGTGAAACACTCATAGATCATTCAATTTTTTGATGTACCTTTTAAAAAACAAGTGACTGAATGAGGTGATGTTGTGTAGGGTTAGACTCTATAATGCAGCCAAACAGGCTGCTTTCCAGTTATTGCTCTTTTTTTTAAAGAAGTTGGTCCTTAGTTTTGTTTCTTTCATTTTGACAGCAGTATTTAAATAGCAGGGCTGTAATCAATTTGAACCTTTCCTAGTTCCAAGTAATTAAACTACTTTATTTACTCATATGAAAATGCTTTTTCCCCCCTATTCTCTGGACAGGATGCAAGGAGGAACTAGTATTCAGTTCTTCCAAAAAATGGCAACAAGTCTGTATGGTACAGTCTGTAAGTTGTCCAGGGTTTCATTTTCTGTGGTTTAATTACCTATAATTAGCTACAGTCTGAAAATATTAAATGGAAAATTCCAGAAATATGTAATTTATAAGTTTTAAACAACTTTTATTACAGTGTATTATTATTGTTGTTCTTTTATTAGCTATTATTGCTAATATCTTACTATTCCTAATTTATTTGTTAAACTTTATCATAGATATATATATATATCTATGATATATATATCATAGATATATATATATATATATATATATATCTATGATATATATATCTGCTTATTATCTATGGGGATTAATTCCATAGTCCTGGCCTGATACCAAAATTCACGGACTCTCAAGTCCCTTATATAAAAATGGCATGGTATTTGTGTATAATCTCCTCCTACACACTTTAAAACACCTGTAGATTACTTACAATACCTAATGCAATATAAATCCTATGCAAATAGTCATTATACTGTATTATTTAGGGAAAAGTAAAAAGAACAAAAATGAACATCCAATTTAAAGAAATATTTTTTATCTGCACTAGTTGAATCCACAAATGCAGAATCTATGGAAATGCAGGGCCAACTATATAGGGTTTAGTATGATCTGTGGTTTTAGGCATCCACTGGGGATCTTGAACATATGCCTTGTGGATAATAAGAGAGGACTACTGTACAATTGACAAAAGAGGGAGAGGTAGTGACAACAGGAAGAAGAGACAGAGCACACCAGCAGCAACTGAGTCGTAACTGAATCTGAGTCTAAAACCAGACTGCCTGGAGTTGAAGTATACCTTTACAACACTTACCATTGTGGAACTCTGAGCAAGTTACTTGATTTTCCTGTTTCCTCATCATAAAGTACTAGTAAACTAGTAACTTGCTCATAGACTCTTGTGAGTATTAAACAAGTTAAGGCAGCACTGGGTATACCATAAGCCCCACAAGTGTATTTTTATTTTACCTCATCAAGAGTCATGATGTCTTCTCTTGAAAGACTCTTCTTGTCTACTTCCTGTCAGTCAAATCAAAGGCAGACTTGAAATCTTTGGAAAAATTACGCCCATACAGTTTAACATGTTTTGAATTTCAGAGACACCATAGCAGTTGTGGTTTTCCATGAAATGTAATATTCTTTTTTCCCCCTATTTTCCCCATTTTTTTTTCGTTTTTTTTATTAGTTCTTATAGTTATACATAGTAGTTGTTGGGTTTATCCTGACAAACTCATACATGCATGGAAATTGATTTCATGAACTAGAATATTCTGTGTTTAAATGATTTGTAGATGTCAACGGACCTTTATTTTATTCATTTATTTGTATGCGGTGCTGAGAATCAAACCCAGTGCCTCATACATGCTAGCCAAGTGCTCTACCACTGAGCTGCAAACCCAGTCCCTAGAATATTCTTAAAAATCAGATTAAAAGAGGTTTTATTTCAGAGGTTTAAATTTCACAAGCCCTTTAAATATGATAGCCATATATCCCAGAGTTTCTGGATCAGTCCTAAAGTAAAAATCAAATTTCATTGTCTTCGTAAGCACAATCATATTTGTCAGATAATGTGATTACATTATGCAACAAATATGGTGATAGTGTGTTAAATCTGCCTAATTAGAGTTCCAGAACCATGAGCCCAAGTGGAAAGTTGACCCTGGAAGATAAGGCAAAGGCCACTTCGGTTCTTTTTTATCTCCTGACAGATCCAAGGCTTTACCACTGAAGGGCAGCAGTTTGCCAAGGCCCGGGACTGCACCTCTTCCTTCTCTCCAGCTGTTTTGATTGGCCTGGCCATGTCCCTGATCCTGCTGCTGGTGCTGGCCTATGCCCTGCATATGCTCATCTACTTGCGCTATCTGGACCGGCACTATGAATTTATCACCTCTCCTACTCATTTCCCACCGTTGAAAACTCGAGACCTGGCAGAGGAGAAGGAACTGCTCAGGAGCCAGGGAGTTGAATGTTATGAACTGAGGAGCCAACAGATCTGCAAGATTTATGTTTAACAAGCATGGGCCTCTCTCCTCTCTCTTTCTCACCATGTCCACAATGGCTCTTAAAGATGTGGTTTCTCTTCTGTGTTGTTTCACTTGTGAATGGCTTGATTAAAAAAAATACAAAAAAGAAAATACACAATTTTTGGTTTTGAAACATCCACTGATTAGTTAGATAAACTTTGGACAATGAAAAAGTATCCCACACATCCCACAGAGATAAATACAATGGTTGCCCCAAACCTACCGTGAAAGTGAAGGGATGTTTCAGGTTTGGAAAATGGGTATGTGTGTGTGGATGATGAGCATAATGCAACATAGACAAAGGAACACACTTGTTCCCTGGGTCCTCCTTGCTTGTGCCAATTTAGATGTGGTAAGAATAGAAATAATAAACCCAATTAATCTGGAAGTTCAGAATTTAAGATATTTTGTATCTTAATTTATTTTCAGAAATTATGTCCCAATTTTTTTTTATAAATAGCCTTTTTCTCTCTTTCATAGGACTATTTAGGAGAAACTGTGGTCAATGTAGTAGAATAACATATCTTAGGACCTTTTTGCCACTAACTTTGCTATTCAAAAGCAGATAGCCCAGTTTGTGTCATAGGGGTCATAGTTTTGGTATATCTTATCTTTCCATCTGGTCATGGTGCAAAAGTTTATCTCATTTGTCTGATTTAGACCTCTACAAACTCTCCTGAGTACCCTTGAAACAAGCAGCACAGCTAAATAAGACAATGTGCTTGCTGTACAAATACAGATTCAAGATAGGTCCTCTAATTCCCCTTCCAAGTAGATAGTGTCCTCTAAACTCTTCCTTAGTAGAAATTCTGGGGCCACCACTGATATTCTTACCACTGGTTTCTTCCATATGAATCTCCTAATCCTTTTGAGTTCTGGGCTGACTCCGAAAATTGACTCACTCTCTAATTCACCAAAGCCTCTCTAATATGCCTTCTGTATCAAAGGGCTCATAAATGTAAAATTACGTTGTATTTTCCTATCTAGGATTCTATACCTTAGCTAGAAGAAGATAGCCCTGCATAGAACTTAGAATGCAGATGAGAACAATCTCAGGTGGGGGTTATCGACAGAGAAATGGAATCTTCTGTGTGATAGATCTAGTCCCACCTTAGGCAGCAAGCATGGGTAATGATGACAGTGAAGTTGCTAATAGAACAGTCTCATGTTTAGCATTTATTTTAGCTGCATTATTATTGGCTGTGAATGTAGGTTTGGTTCAAACTGCCTTAAAATTTTGTAAGATCATAGTTCCTTTCAGTTTAGATATCTGGAGTAGATTCTGCAGTCTGTAACTAAGAATCCTGATTTATTTAAGTTGTTAGTACTAAGATGATTACAGGGAACAGAATCCCAAGAAAATGAGACTCTAGGATTGATTATTATTCTATTTGGCTAAAACCAGTGGAAACTCTGTTAGCATAAGAGAATGGTAAACTGACAGCCCAAGGCATTAAGTAATGAAATTGAGATTCCCATTGCTGTTGCTTTAAGTGTCAACTGCTGATTTAAATGGCTGTTTGATCAGCTATAGTCCCAAAAAAGTAAATACAATTTATTGTTCAAACTAGGATACTTTTGAAAGTGAAAGGGATTTTGAACAACCCACAATAAAAAATTAAAAAAAAAAAAAAAAGAAAGTGAAAGGGAACATCATTAAAAATTCCAAGATAGTAGATGTGGGTGGAATCAGGAAAACTGGGATATATAGTCACCCTAATTATGGGTGATACCCTGCAGCCTAGGCTAGCTCTTTCTGTAATGGATGGTTTATGGAAAGAAACGATAATTCAAAATTTTAAGTTCACATTTCAGGCATGGTCAAAGATCTGGCAAGTGTCCATGACTGATCTAAAGGGATTCCTTACCTTTTGTCAAAGGGCTGACATGTTAAAAATTGAACTTGGGTCTGATCCTGCAAAATGCTTTTGTATGTGGAATTCACACCCATACAAGATCTCTTTTTTGAAAATGAGAATATTGATGACAATAAAGAAACGTTGAGAACAGGAATGGTAACTTTGGAAAGGTTTAGACAACTTTAACAATATTGAATTCTCAAACTCCATACTCAGTTTTTCTTATTAGCAGAAACAACTCCTGTGAGATGAAGCCGTTCCTGCCTTGCTCAAAGATCCTGTGATAGCCTCACCAGAGATACTTATTTAGACAAGGGGTGCCAATTTTCCTTTTTTCATTTAGGTAATTGGAGTCACATTCTAGCATATCCAAGGGAGCCAAGTGCAGAGTCAAATCACGGAGAAGAGAATTGCAAAAATAGTTTTACCAACTTATGTAACAAAAGATTTGGGAGAATATATGTTGGAATGAATTCAGGTGGTACAAACTCAAGGAGAGAAGTTTATAATTTTAGAATGAACTGAATTGTTTGATATGGATTCTCTTAACAGAGATTAAGGATTAAATGAGCTGGCTTGAGCAGTTGGGAGTGCTTCTAACAGTTTATTGATTAAAATCTAGACTCAGTAGTATCATATCCTAAGCAAAGTATAGAGATCAGAAATGCCTTGGAATTACATGAAGGAAGAAAAGAAATTTAATAACTTAGAGAATTGGGATGTAGGAATGGATTTATCATGTGTAAACTGCTTTCTCTCCTATAACAGCTTTCTTCTTGAAGTCCCAGAGGAATGCCCTTTGTTCTAGTACAAAGAGATGCTTTGGGATTATAGCACCAGATTTTTTTGAAAAGTGTTCTAGTGGCTGTTCTCTGAAGGTTATGGATGAAGGTAGGAGATGCCATTCTTGAAATGGAATTCTTGGTCTCAATAGGGGTGCTGAGATCCTAGAGTGGCAGAAATCAAAAAGCATCAAAGTAACCTAAAAGAGATAAAGGGTAAGAGTGTTAATCAGATTAGATTGTATTTGTTAATGGTAAATTGATCTATGATATATTTGGATAAATAGTTTACTGAAACACTCTTATCTGTATCATCATCAGCATCATCATCATCTAAATCTGGTATAAAAAGTCTTACTTAAGCCATTGTGGTAGATTCTCAGAACTAAGTTTTTGATTACTCAGTCTCCTTGAATGAAGAACCTCTTAAGAAAGGCTTTTGTTTTTATGTCTAATGTTGAGCATGATTATAAATAACTATATGTTTATTCCTCATCAGATATCTGTCTTTTAGCATTGCTTCTGATATGTTCTTTACTTTCAGGTTAAGAAGTTATGCTATTATTACAGATACCTTTTCTATTAACCCACCAAATATGTCACCATTGCTATGTAATTATTAGTGCATCAGAAGCATAGCCTCAGCGGTATTTCTCTTTCTGAAAGGTATGGAAAAACATGGCAAAGAAAGTGATATTTGACATGAGTAGGAGTAGCTAGGTAGGTAAGGTGGAGAAGGACAAACATAGCAGAAGAAAACACATTTGCAAAAATAAGACTCTAACATGTGTGCAGAATTGTGAACACATGTCTGTAGGAAGGCACATGGGATTTAGAGGAGTGAAGAAGGAGAACTTGGAGATTAAGAGGGGGATCAGATATTATGTTCAAATAAAGATTTAAAATATTGAATTTAGGTAATGGAGAGGCCCTTGTGAGGATTTTGGAAGACTTAACACAAGATGATTACATGGTATATAGTGTGAATAGAATAGAGACGGAAATACCAATTAGGAGATTATTACAATGGTTTAGGGCAAAATAAGAATAAGACCTGAAGTAGGACAGTGTCATGGGAGGTAGGAATTAGAAGAATTTTAAGAGATTGGCAGTCAATTAATAAGTCAGAAATGACTGGTAGGTGCGGGAAGCCACTGTGAAATGTGCATGGTCCAGATCAGCATTGAAGCTATTGAAGGGAAGATCTGGTATTCGGGAACTCCTACCAGCAACCCTGCTGGTTTTGAGATGGCCCAGTACATTGTGAACTCCCACTCAGCTCTGCCAAAAGGTTCTGCACAACACGGGAAGATGGGCATGACCTGTTAAGAATCGAGTAGCCTACCTGTCCCCACCTCTATCCTGTTTTTGAGGAGAAATTTCTATCCAATCCTTTTGATCTGTTCTGATATAAATAATCCAGGCTCTGGCTTCTTTGTTAGAAGCTGCACCAGTCTGGTCAGGTTGTCCGGTCACTGCCCCAGCTCTGAAAACCAGCTCTGTGGTTATTTTGTAGTACTATTTTCTTAGCTTTTGTTTCTTAGTCAGCCCATCCCTCCAGAGGGAAACCCTTTCCTTTGCCCAGGTGGGACGTGTGGGAGAGGTAGGTGTCTTATTTGAGCACTGCAAGGATGGTGATGTCAGTTTTGTGATCAGGGATTAAAAAGATAAGGGTGATAGGGGAAGGTTCCAATAGGCAGTTTATCTAGGCAGTTGGATGTATAGATCTAGGGTAAAACAGAGTATCTGTACCAGAAATAGAGATTTAGAACAAAGCAGATGCTGTCTGTGTCCCACCCATGTTCTTTTGGCCCCTATCATTTTCATTGCCACAATCTGTCCTCATGGGCTGCTCTGTCTGTGTTGATGACAGACTGGAATCACTAATATATCAATGTACCCTAAGAGTGATCCTCAACCAACAACTGAGGAATTTTGTATAGATGCTCCAGTTCATTTTGTCCCTTGAATGAGATAACTCTAGACTATTTCCTGGAGTTCCCCAACAGGAATAAGCTCTTTTATCCCTTGTGAAATCTTGCTTGAGAATGTTCACTTTATTGGTTCCCCTCTTCCCTGTTTCACTTTCCTACTCCTATAGTGGCATTTCCTGACATCACCTCCAAAACAAACTTCTTACATTTAAATCCCTGTCTTAGGATCGGCTCAGGAAACCCAAATTAAGACATGTAGTAATGGCCATATGGGAAAAATTGAAAACAAGGTGACTAGTGGTGATGGAGAAAGAAATGAGATCACCTCAGAAGAAAAAGATGGGTTGATAATAGACCCCTGGGGAACACTGCATTTATGGACAAACCTGCAAAGGAGTTAGAGTGGAAGCAATCAAAGAGGAAGAAGGCAAACCAAGAAAGAATAGTGTCCCAGAAACCAAAGGAAAAATAAAAGATTTCTAAGATGAAGGGAATAGTCAACCATGTTAAATGGTCGAGAGAAATCAAGCTAGAAAAGAACTACAAATTGTTTATTTCTTAGGTTTGGTCAATAGGAAGTCATTGATGAACATCATACTCCATTGGAGGACTGGGGTGGAAATAGTTCAGGGTGTTTGTTATTTATTATTCCCCTGGCTTTCTCCCAGTTAGAACACCTTGATTACATGTATCTCTCAAGACAGCCTCCTGCTTTTAGTAACATCCTTTTCTCTTGGGTGCAGGGCTGGTGACAACTTCATTGCTACTAGCCCGAGTTCATTACACTGTTCT